GGGTATAAGATGCAGGCAGAACAGTATTCTCTAAGCGGCACAACCCAATAGATGGTATTGTATGCAGGAACATCTTCACAGTGTATGGACTAGACCCTATTCCAAGTAGGAGACTTTGTGGAAGGTCATGAAGAATAAGAGGACTAACATCCTGTGGGACTTCCAGATCCAGATAGACAGGCAATCAACCAGACACTATTGTAGTAGACAAAAGACCAGAGATCTGTGATGGTGATAGATGTAGCAGTGCCAAGTGACAGCAGCATCAAGAAGGACGATGAAAATCTGGAAAAGTAGCAGGACTTGAAGGAGGAATAAGAGAGGATGTAGGAAGCCAAGGCCAAAGTGGTCCCAATGATGGCAGGAGCACTCATGGCTGTGACTCCTAAGCTGGGAGAGGGACTCCCAACAAATCTCAGGAATATCAGAGTTCCCTGTCCAGATAATACAGTGATAGGAACAGCTGAATCCGTAGGCAAAGGATTTGAATCTTGGTAAGGAGTTGTGATTTAGTAAATGGAAACTGTCCAAAATGGAAACTAGTGATGAGTCCCAGTACAGGATGAAACAGATCATACAGTACCTGCTAATGGTCAATAGTAATAAAATAATTTATTTAAAAAGCTATACATTCCCATTGGGTGTGAGGTTTGAGGCCTTTAGTACAAGGCCCAGACAAAATTAATAGCTGTAAACGCACTAGTCTGAGAATACAAGGGGGGGAAATGGGGGAGGCAAATCTCCATAGCATCTAATTCCTTAGATTTGTTTGTTTGTTTGTTTGGATTTGGCTTGATCAACAGTTTTCAAGCTGAAATTGTGGCTGAGTTTGGCTGTGTCAGAATATTAAACAAAACTGCTATAGTTAAAAAAACAACAACAGTGACCTGGTTCAAAATAAGTGTGATTCAAGCAGTTTTCTATGTGCTTCAAACCTGACATTTTATTTAAAACAGTATTAATGAAGGGTGAATAGTGAGAAAAGGCCATTCCAGGTCATTATTTAGAAGCCTGATTTCCTTAATGAGCTGTGATACTCTGCCCAGAAAAGAAATAGAAACAGACCACCAAAATAGATCACAGCTCATGATGCCAAATTAGTCATCCAGTTGCTGCATACAATTATGAAATAGCCCATCCAAATGTCACTTCACAATGTAAGCCAGAAATGCCTTTTTTTCTTGCACTCTTTATTTCTTGTTTTGTTTCTGGATAGTAAAAATATTACTGTTAGTTTAGAGTGGTGCTTCTTAACCTTGATAGCTTTAAGCTGGGTGGACTCCCAACTCCCAGAATTCCCCAGCCAGCATTACAAAATTGAAGCAGGGGAATGATTGACCCCTGCCTGTAAAGCTGGATGATATCATTTTTTGCATTTGAAAGTGAACTTAGAATAGATCGCTTTGATATGGTCACCGACCAGATTTGAACCCAGTAAAACAAAACTGACAGAAATGGAGCCACAAAGGACAAGTACAGGTGATCCTCCTTTTACAATCATTTATTTAGTGACCGTTCAAAATTGCTCCGAAAATAAGACCTATCACCTCTTTTGGAGGAGGCAAAAAATAAATAAATAAGAGCAGGTCTGATTTTTGGGAAAACACAGAATGTGGCTTTTTAGATGTTGATTGGGGTGTTGATGGCTGGCTATTAAGTCACTGGCTGTTGTTTGCTTCTGCTGCCAAGCACTCAGCTCCTACGTACTTGATAAGCTGGTGGTAAATCAGCACTTTCGTTGACTGACTAGGGGCCCATTCAAGTGATTGAAGCCTGGGAAACGGGCCCCCTCTGGTCCCAGTGACTGACCTAGATTGGATCCTACAACATTATCCTGAGAACACATCTATTTGCATGCATTCATGATTTAGGAGCGTTTTTCACACTTGCAGCATCCCCATGGTCATTCAATTAAAATTCAGATGCTTGGCAAAGACTCACATTTACGATGGTTGCAGTATCCTGAGGTCACATGTTTACCTTTTGTGGCATTCTGACAAGCTAAGTCAATGGGAAAGACAGATTCCCTTAAAAACTGTATTACTATTTTAACAGCTGCAGTACTCACTTAATAACTGTGGCAAAAAAAGTCATAAAATGGGGCAAAACTCACTTAACAAATGTCTCACTAAGTAATAGAAATTTTGGGCTCAATTGTGGTCATACGTCTTGAACTACCTATACTAGAATTCTAAAAGTTAGATAATGATGGATTTAGAAGTCCCCCGCCTTCACACACACACAACTTTTGAGAACTAGGCACTACATGCATTCCAACTCAATAAATATCCTGGGAAAAATTAAGTAAATGAAGAGCAAAGTAATTAACATCATTACTGCTGAATGGTTAAGTAATACCATTAAGTTCAAATTACCTTAAACTTAAATCAAAGTGACATTTCTATATTTATTGCTAGTGTGTCAAATGCACACCACATCTCTTTGTTCATAGGACAATCATAGAGTAATGATCAAAGAAATAAAGAAAATAGAGGCTTCAGCGCTAAATTGATTGCATTTACTAAAGGTGGAAAAATCAAAAGAACAAACAGAAGGTCAACAAGAAATAGAAAAGTGGTATCCAACTCTTTGCAACCCTATGGACAACAACATGCCAGGCCCCACTGTCCTCCCCTCGTATCAGGAGCTTGCCCAAATATATGTTTGTTGCATCAATGACACTATCTAATCATCTCTCTGCTGTCCCGTTCCTTTGCCTTCAATCTTTCCCAACATCAGGGTCATTTCCAAGGATCCTCAATTGGTGGCCAAAGTATTTGAGCTTCAGCTTCATTATCTATCCTTCCAAAGAACAGTCAGAGTTAATTTCCTTTAGAATGAACAGATTTGATCTCCATGCAGTCCATGGATTCGTCAAAAACAGATTATGCCAAATAAATCTTATTTCATTCTTTGACAAAGTGACTAAATTAGTGGATCAGTGAAATACTGTGGATATAGTATACTTACTATAGTATAGTATACTTTGATAAAAGAGATCACAACCTACTTCTTGGCAAATTGAAAAATGTGGGATAGACAGCACTACCACCAGATAGGTTTGCAACTGGCTGACAAATCATACTTAACATGTAGTCCTTGATGGAACTACATCTATTTGGAGGGAAGTAAGTAGTGGAGTATTCCAAGATTGCATTTTAGGCCCGGTACTCTAAGGGGAACTCATCAAATTTGCAGATGAAACTAAGCTGGCAGGAATATCCAACACCCCATAAGACAAGTTCAAGATCCAAAAAGTTCTTGACAGATTTGAACAATAGGCCTAGCTAACAAAATAAAATAAGATAAAAGTAAGGTTTTACACTTAGGCAAGACAAACCAACTGTATAGGTACAGACTAGGTGAATCCTGGCTTAATGCCAGTAACTGTGAAAGGGATCCTGCAGTCCTAGTGGATAATCACTTAAATATGAGCCAACAATATGCATCAACAGTCAAAAGAGCCAATGCACTCCAAGGCTGCATTTATAGAGGGACAGAATCATGATCACATGAAGTTCTAGTATTGCTTTACAAAGCCTTAGTAAGACCACACATGGAATACTGCATCCAATTCTGGTCACCACCATATAAAAAAGATGTTGAGATTCTAGAAAGAATGCAGAGACGAGCAACAAGAATAATTAAGGGACTGGAAGCTAAAACATAGAAAGAATGGTTACAGGAATTGGTCTAGTCTAGTCTAGTCTAATGAAAAGAAGGACTAGGAGAGATATGATAAGAGTATTCCAAAATTTGAGAGACTGTCACAAGAATGGGGTCAACATATTTCCCAGAGCACCGGAAGGCAAGACAAGAAAAAATGGATGGAAACCTATCAAGGTGAGAACCAATCTTGAACTAAGGAGAAACTTCATCATAGTTAGAATAATTTATCAGTGGAACGACTTGCCTTCAGAAGTTGTGGGTGTTCCATCACTGGAGAATTTTAAGAAGAAATTGAACAACCATTTGTCTGGAATGGTATAGGGTCTCCTGAGAGAGCAGAGGGTTGGACTAGAAGACCTCCAAGATCTCTTGCACTGGAATAATTCTGTGAAAAATTTATTCAGCTAAACTATACAAAACTATTTTCAGGTCAGGTTAACTTGGACACATTCACAGCTGATGCCCTAACCCTGATTATGCATGCACTGTGTAAGGACCCACCCCACTTTGCATCTTAAGAAGACAGAACTCTTGGAATAATTCTTCCAACAGGAATCCTTTATTAAGAGAAAATGGTTGCAGGCATGCTAGACAGGACTTGGGGTTCAAGCTCTTCCATTCAAGGTTTTAAGGGGTTCCCCAGTAGTCCCACCCAATCAACCCCCCTTCCAGTGATAGTTTCAAGTATCACAATTCCACCCCCTTTCTTCTTTCTTCCGTCTGAATGGAGACTTCAGGTAACTACATGAAAGGCAAGTACCCTGCTTTGTTATGATAAGGTTCTCTAGTGCTAACGCTTTGATGTTACAATAAACACACATTCAGCATTCAGCTCTTTGAAGTGTACTGAAGGAAGTGAGGGCCATAAAGCCCCTTTGTTCTCCCCCTTCTCTCCCTCTTATGGCAGAATCCAAAGAAGGCAGAATTGGGAGTTTCTATATTTGATAATTAAAGATGAAATATGATTGGATTCTGACACACTGATATAGTCATGTGAGCACTGGGTTATGTGGCCATTGTAATTTCAGAACTGAGTTGTAAGTACTTTTGGGAAGGGGGGGATCGTCCAATGTCATTTCAATTGGTTGTAAGTCGAGGACTTACTGTAATTTATCTGATGTCTAATATTCTATGAAGGTTTATCACGTGGAAATGGTTGAAGTGTTTTGCATGCTTTCAATAGACAATCCATGTTTCATAGGCATACAGAAGAGTAGCATGGCTTTGTAGACTTCAAAGTTTATAGAGGTGAAATTGTCACAGTAGATCCCATAAGGACAGTGGAAGTGCAGGATCTTATTAAAATATCCCAATGTTTTATCTGTTTACAGGGATCCTCAAAATCTCTACCCTCCCGAGGTTAGCAATGCAAAGCTCCAATATGCGGGATGGGGACCCAAAGGCCAGCAGCTGGTAAGAAACTGTTCTCCCTGACTTTTTGTCTTCTTTGCTGCAAAGTCAGTTACAAATATGAATAAAAGGGATCCCACATAGGCTCTTGGCTTATTTTGCTGATTTAACCATACAGCTTCATTGCTGATAGGACTTAACTCAGCACCGATAGCGCTTGTCTAATAGCCAGACCAATTAGCTTCTCGGTGATCCCGAAGAATTCATACACTAAAAGCTAGCATAGCAGAAGAGTTTAGGACTATAACTGAGACTTGGTTCTAATCCCTTCTTAGCCACAGAAATTCCCTGGGGGTCTAGGGCCAGCCTCTCACTGTGAACTGCAGAGCCTGGGTGATGCCGTGGAGAAGCTCCTGAACTAGGAGTGGGGAGATCCAGGTTCTCCCCCCCCCCAATCATTAAAGACTACTGGGTATGAAGAACTGGGAGAAGGAAGATCAAGGCCACTAAAGTACATTATGGTGACAGAAAAGATTTCTTGGTCCAAAGCCAACTGCCACTTATCTCTGCTGCCCCCCTCCTCCCCTTGTATTTCCTTGACTAAAACTCAAGGATCTTCATCTCTAGACATTGTGCTGGACATGGCAAACTTCTCTGTAGGAATCCCAGGAGCTCTTCTTTGAATCCAGCTACAGGTAGTTCTTGACTTACAACCTCATCTGAGTCCCAAATTTTTATTGCTAAGCTAGACTGTTGCTAAGTGAGTTTTGTTCCATTTTATGACTTCTTGCCACTGTTGTTAAGTAAAACACTGCAGTTGTTAAGTTAATAACACAATTATTAAATGAACCTGGCTTCCCCATTGACTTTGCTTGTCAGAAGGTCGCAAAAGGTGATCCCATAACCCTGGGACACTGCAGCTGTCATAAATACATGCCAGTTGCCAAGCATCTGAACTTTGATCATGTGACCGTGCGGGTGATGCAGCAGTCATCAATGTGAAAAAATGTCATAAGTTCCATTCGTAGTCAAAGATGGTATTTTTCAGGAATCAATGGGCCCACAAAACAAAAGTATCTCTCTCTTGGAAAGATTTAATCTGCATCTCTTCTTCCCTATCCAGAGCCTGACCGACTCCACACACTGAGTCAGGATCTTGACTCTGTTTTCTGTTTGGCCTGGGGCCAAGAAAAATAGTTGGGTATCATCAGCACATTGAAAATATAGGTCCCCATATCAACAGGTCCCCCCCCCCAGCAGTTCTATTGTAGATGTTAAAAAGAAGTGAAGAGAGAAGATGGCCCTGAGGCACTTCACAAAGTAGAGATTTCAACTTGTTAGTTCAAGTTGTTCAGCCACTGATGCAGAAGATACCCTAACCAGGAGATATTTCCTGGTGGGCTTTCTCAACCATGAGGAGCCAGGAATTTTGCACATTTTAATTTTGTTTTTCATATGAATGAATTTATCACTAACTCTGCATCCCACCCCTAATTCAAAAACCTTGTTTTGACCTTGTCAAACCACTCTGCCAAAGATGCAATAATGAACCAGTGTGTATCATTTCAAAAGAAGAAAATTTAATTTACAGTGATGCCCTACATAATCATCAGTGATATTAGGTTACTGAATACAAGATAATCCATCTTGTAGAAGTTTAAAGCACAGAGTGCATATTAAAGGCCACTTTGACTAATAAATTCTAGGAACAATATAACAAGGTAGTTAGTATGCAAAAATACAGGTAGTCCCCAATTTACAATCCGTGAAACGGTGGTTCATGGTTACAAAGGCATCAGAAAAAGTGATTTGCAATTTGTCCTTGAAGTTATGGCCATCATACCACCCCACTTAATCACAAATCAGATGCTTAGCAACCAGCTCACATATACAATTGGTGGCAACAACCTGCAGGCACGTGATTGCAATTTTTTATCTTCCCAACAAGCAATGTTAATTGGGAAAGCCAGATTCGCTTAATGACCATGATAAAAGTGACTGTAAAATCAGGTCCAGTAATGTGACATTATCATTTAGCAACACAAATTACTGTCCCAATTATAGCCATAAGTTATAACTATTTTAGAAGCCCAGAAACAATATTCTATATAGCCATAGGAAGTATTAAAGACAGAATAAAACATCTGAAAATATTAAAAAATGTTTTCTATATCTATAAGCAGCTAAAATGTGCAGTAGAGTTTGTGTAAAATATAAATTATTGCAAGATTTGTTGCCAAGTCCTGGAAAAGATGTGAGAAAGAGTTAGACTACTTTCAGAAAATAAAAATACAGAGGAGAGATTGTAAGACTAAAACTCACTAAGTCATCAGAGAAGCATCAATATAACAATAATTTTTAAGGTTCCAAATGATCTGTTGTTGTTTTTTTGCTTCAGCATTCAATACGAGGAAGATTTTTTTTTTTTTGCTACAGATTAGGCATAACATTATTTTTGCCCAAGTCATTGTCAGCTTTTTGGGTATTAAAGATATTATATGCAGAAAATCCTTTGGGTTTTAAAGATTAATATGAGCTGCTGTTCCAAAAATTAAAATAAAACCTATGTTAGTTTTAGTAGAAGCTTTAGAGCTTGTTTCAGCTTTAAAAAGAGATCAACTACCCCAACAAGTTTTAAAGTTTATGCAAAGTCACATAAACCGGTGGTTAGAGCATTTATTCTGCATGTTTTCAAATTCAGTCTCCGATAAGGCAGTCCTTGACTTACAACCTTTTGTTTAGTGACCGAAGCTACAATGGCACTAAAAAAAAAGTGACTTATGACCACTTTTTACACTGATGGCTGTCACAGCATCCTCATACAATATTTGTACACTTGATAACAAGCATATATTTATGATGGTTGCAACATCCCAGGGTCGTGTGATCACCATTTGCGATCTTCCCAGCCAAGTCAGTGGAGGAAGTTAGATTTGCTTAATGACCCAAGGGTGCTTTTTCAGAAAGCACCTGGACTTTCTTGTTTTTCTTTTGAAGAAGTTTCGCTCCTCATCCAAGAAGCTTCTTCAGTTCTGACTGGATGGCGGGGAATGGAAGGATTTATATTTATATTCCTTGCAGACAGCTGGTCAGTTGCATTCTTCTATTTAAAGAGTCGTTAGTGCTACCTGGAGGCTTATCTGTGTCTACCTGAGTAGTGAAAATGGGTGTGGGGCCTTCTTGGCTGCGGGATGTTTTCTGCCCTGTGTCCCTTCACTGTTGAAGACAGGCGGAGGCTGATGGGGATGAGTCTGTGTTGTCTGCATCTCAAAGTGAAGGGCAAATGGTTTCTGTCGTCTTGAATGTTTTCTGGAAATCCGTTTGTACTCCCTCACCATTCGAAGGGTGTTCATGCCAAAGTGCATAGCTAAGAGTCTATGGAGATTCTCAGTCATCCAGGTCATGGTTGTCCCAAAGGAAGTCCAGTTGCCTCCTGAAAAAGCACCAAGGTTGGAACCCCCGGGGGAAGCTGTGGACAGTCTGCAGGCTAAAAATCTAACAAACAAGCAAATATGTCTGAGTGATCATTTATTTATTTTATTTATGAGACTTATATACCGCTTTAAGTGCGAGCACTCTCTAAGCGGTGTACACCAGTAAGCAATGTATATATATATTTACATTGCCCCCAACAATCTGGGTCCTCATTTTACCTACCCCGGAAGGATGGAAGGCTGAGTCAACCTTGAGCCGGTGAGATTTGAACCGCTGACCTGCTGAACACAGTCAGCTAAAGTGGCCTGCAGTACTGCACTCTAACTGCTGCGCCCCCTCGGCTCTCATTATCAACAACTCCCTGTACAGGTGGTCCTCGACTTATAACTACAATGGAACCCCAAATTTCTATTCCTAAGCAAGACATTTGCTTAGTTTTGCCCCATTTTATGACCTTTCTTGCCATAGTGCTGGTAGTCCTCAACGTGCGACCACAATTGAGTCCAGAATTTCCATTGCTAAGCAAGACAGTGGTTAAGTGAAATTTGCCCTGTTTTACGGTGTTTCTTGCCACAGTTGTTAAGTGAATCGTTGCAGGTGTTAAATGAGTAACATGGTTGTTAAATGAATCTGGTTTCCCCATTGACTTTGCTTGTCAGAGGGTCACAAGAGGTGGGACATTGCAATCATCATAAATATATGTTAGTTGCCAAGGGTTTGAATTTTGATCACGGGACCATGAGAATGGTGCAAAGGTTGTAAGTGTGAAAAATGTTCATGTCCCTTTTTTCAGTGTTGATGCAATTTTGAATGATCACTAAACAGACTGTTGCTAGTCAAGGACTAGCTGTATGTAGTGATTTCTAGTCTAGTTTTCTTTCTTATTATTATTCCATGCATCAATATTGAAAATTTCTGTGAAAAAGTGTTCTGACGTGGTGTTTCTCCACCATTGGAGATTTTACAATTTGTCAGTATGTTACTGATTTTTGTACATCAATTGTAAGAGGCTGTTGCAGAAAGAAAACACTATCTTAAACTAATTTGTAAAGAGGCAGAAACTGCATCCATTTCCCTAATAGGTTGTTAAGCATTTCACAGTGAAAAAAAAAATCATTGCTACAGATGTAACACACAGTTGCAAAGAGCACATCTTAAAATATCTGCAATTGATAATGCCACTAAATTGAGTTTTGTATTTCCAGACATGAAAAATAGACTTTTAAAATAACATATGGCCACTATTATAAGAAAATTGGTCTTGTTTGATGTTCAGTCATAATCTTATTTTAAGTGCACACATGTTGTGCCTTATTTTATTTAGGTCAATGGTATATCTAACTATTTTTCTCTCTGTATAAGTGCTCACTGAAACATTTGATTTTTATACAGACCTTAGCAATACAGGTAATCCTTCACTTAAGATCAAAATTCCAGACTTTATTGTGGTCATAGGTCAAGGACTGCCTATAAGAATTTTGATCATCAGTCATTGAGGTCGTAAGTCAAAGGTACCTTGTTTCCAAATTTTATTTTACAACTTTTTTATGTTGGTTATAAAGCAAATCTTTAAGTGGTTGTTAAGAAAATTCAGCATATTCATTTGGAAAATGTAAAAAAAAATGACA